ATAATAATAATAATAATAATACAGAATTATCCTCTTATAGCTCTTTCCCTTCTCTTGCGGCTAAAAACTTTTGCTCTTCAGGATTTGAGGCCCATTCGAGCCATCAGCTGTTCATACACAGTCCAAGCCATGGCAGCCATGAGAGTGCGTCGAAGAGACCTGGGCACTGCTCCACGAAAAAACCCAGCCATGCCGTACTCCTGAAGGAAAGGCCAGAGCAGCAATCCTCAGTTAGATGTTATATAATAGTGAAAGTGTTGCTTCTTACTGAAAAACACAACAAGAACGTGAGTACACACCATGTAGATGCGGCGAACTGCACCTGCTGTGCTACAGTGGGAGGGTCTGACTTGAATGTGAGTCTTCACTACATCTGCAGGCTGCGTTACTACTGATGCCATGACACCCGCAATCACCCCACAGCTGAAGTTCACCAGCGGGGCGTAGGGCGCCGAGGTCACCTCTGAGAGAAGAGAACCCGAGGGTGTCAGATGATTTAAATAAAAACAATCAGTCAAACCACAGAAAGAGAAAAATACGTGGAAAACATTAAAAATCACCTTTTCATAAAGAGCTGCGATGATTCATTGAGTAACTTGATTATAAAGAGTATTCAACACAAATTTTTTGCTGCGATGTTTTAATGTTTAAAACTCTGTAGCGCTCAGTTGTCTCCGTGTAAGCGCGAGCATTTCACCTACATTTTTATTGGCATGTAAATACAGTGAGAGGGTTTTTGACAGATGTTGGTTTTGGGTAAAATACTAAAAATATTGCAGTTTCTAAAAATGTTAAACCATAAAGCAGTGGATTGTAAAAGACCTGTGCTTTTCTCTTTTGAATATTTATTATGGCTCATTAATAAGACAAAAGTTTTTATCAGTATTTAAAGTGTGAAAGGGTATTTTGAGAACGGCTGCCTTATCCCATTACTCTATTAATCGATACTCAATTATTTAAATGTTTAAATACTGTTAGGGGTGTGGCCAAGTGAATTGGGTGTGGTCAATTCACTTGGCCACACCCCTAACAGTAGCTTGCAATTACAAGGCAAGAACCCATTTTTAGACAGTAATTACAAGTTACTATTAGGAGAAATGGGATGCTCTATAACACAGGCCCTCCCATCATCTTAATAATACTGTTTAATTGCAGAGTAAGAAGGGGAAATAGGACATTCTATATTAAAAGCCTTCACTCCTAATAGTAACTTGCAATTACCATGTAAGAACCCCTTTTGCACATTGCAATTAAAAGGCCTCACATCCCCTCAATGATACTGTGCAACTACAACAAGAGACAGAAGTAAGGTTACACAATAATAAAACATGAACCTCTAATATTACTAGATAATTAGAATTTACAAAAGGAAAACAACCTTCTTTCTTACAATATACTCACAGTATAATTATTGTTACTCAGTTTTTTTCTCTCTACCTACATTTTAAGCATTCGCCATAAACCATTTAATTTGTTTACATGGTAAAAGTTGGGAAACTACACCAGAGCCGTATTATGAAGCGCTACCAAGACATCAGTGCTCACAGTGAGGGTTTTCCACAACATGTTGCTTCATATGTTTTACATCAAGTGCTTTTAGCACAAAAAAATGTGTGAAATGGAAAGGAATTGTGAAAATGGGAATGCGTCAAGTTCAGGATTTTTGCTTGTAATTATAATAAAAGCTCTCTTATTCACAAGGGGCCGTCACAGTGGGCATCTCCGCATATTTTGACTGGGTCGATTTTTACCCTGGCTGGTCTTCCTGACACAACCACAAAGGGATTTGTGTCTGCTCCCAAGACTGAATCCAGGATCTTTCGTGCGTTATGTGATTGTAGTAACTGCTACACGATGGAGGGGCTTGTCAAAGAAAATAAAGGACTTTCTCTAATGGTTCATATAAGCTGGGCTACCTTCTGCGGTGGACGTGAATAAATGTGATTGTGATTGTGCAGCATACAGCTGCTTGCACATACGTATGCAGAATTTTTAGCCACCCAATTTACTTCTTCAGTCATTCATTATCAGTCTGTGCCCAGCTTTACTGATTTTGCTCACAGAACAAACTGTACAAGCACTAAATCCACCCGATTGATTTTCTGCACAAGTGTTAAAACACTAATGCAATTTTCTGCTCAGCGGGTGTACAAAACATAACTCTTCACATTTTTCTTAACCTCCATTTTGATCTGCTGACTGAGCGTGACTCTCACCTTGAGGCAGCGCTCTCTTGGCCTGGCTGTAAAACATGACGTAGATGCCGGAGAAAGGAGCGTCGCGGAGCAGCGTGGCAGTCAGCCCAGAAAACAGAGCCCTGATTCCCTCCGTCTCATACATACTCCTCAGAGCACCGGGCACACTTGCATAACTGTAAAAGCCACTCTGAAAAACACAGAAAAATTGAAATGAAATGTCTTTAATCATGCGGTTGATTGAGTGACAATAGATGTAAATGACTGCCTTTGTATCCACACTACGTGTCTCCACAGAAAAGTCATAATAAAATAGAGCAAAAACCTCTGACTGAAAGCAGTTCCACAACAACTTTATTTAAAAAACAGATGTGAGAAGATTAGTAGATATTTCATCTCTGACCATCTGGCGTCAGAGTCTGTTAGCTGGTAGATACCTCGAAGCGCGTCTTGATGACTGTGAATGGTAACATGCAGACTCCGGCCACAGCTCTGGCACCCGCTCCGAGCAGAACAGCCTCGCCAGCGTTGGGAGCTCGGTCCAGGAAGAAGTGCTGCTTCAGGGAGTAGAAGGTGCTGAAGTAGATACCCACCCCAGGGATGCAGCGCACAAATGACTGTAGAGGGAGAAGTAACAGTGTTTGTTGTCTTGGTTAAAAAGAAAGGCATAATTTACATGGGTTTCTTAGAGGGGAGCATGTGCTATGAGTTTGAGTGTTGGTGGGAGAATAAAATTTCAATTCAGTTTATTTATATAGCGTCAAAATACAACAACAGTCGCCCAAAAGTTCTATTTATTGTAAGTTAAAGACCATAAAATAATCAAAAGAAAACCCCAAGAATCAAACGACTCCTTATGAGCAACCACTTGGTGACAGTGGGAAGGAAAAACTCCCTTTCAAAAGGAAGAAACCTCTGGTAGAACCAGGCTCAGGGGAGGGGCAGCCATCTGCGTACAAATGTGCAACAAACAGGATTTGTTGTAAATAATGAAAACGGTGCATTCAGTTGCTCACCGGTGAAACACCTTTCCACAGACTGAAGAACTTCTCTGTCCTAATAACATTGATGAAAACGCTAAACATTCCCACCTTGGGTGCGCTGCAAGACAAAAAATTTTTAAATCAATACAAACAAATTAAATTGTGCAAAAAAACCCCCAAAAACAAAACATTACACACTACTGTGCAAAAAAACTTAAGCCCCCTCTAATTTATATTTTGCTTCCAAGGAGCCAGGCTTTCTGAAGGTCTTCCAAAGTTTTTTTATTTGGAAATTGGCTGCTTTTCAGTCCAGTCCTTGTACCCGACCACTTTCAGGAATTTATTTATTTTTTGGTTTGTTAAGCCACTTAACACTGACCTATGAGTCATTAGAGCATAAAATAAGACACGTAACTCAAAGGATGAACCAGTGTTGTGTCTACAAACAAACAACTTTAAAAAATTTAATTCTAAATTGTATCTTTAGGCACGGCGGTTAGCACTGTTGTCTCACAGCAAGTAGGTCATGAGTTCGACTCCATCTTTCTGTGTGGAGTTTGCATGTTCTCCCCGTGTTTGCATGGGTCCTCTTCCTCCCACAGTCCTAAGAACTGTAGTTAGTGATTCATTGGTGATTCTAAATTGCCTCCAAGCGTGAACGTGAGTGCAAATGGTTGTCTGTCTCTCTGTGTTAGCAGATTGGCGACTTTTCCTGGGTGTACCCCGCCTCTTGCCCTATAGTAACTGGTATAGGCTCCGGCCCATACCAGATAAGGATAAGCTAAGTGGATGGGTTGACCTTTAGGGACTTTTTTAAGAGCAGCCTGTCATAAAAACACATAATTTGTTCCCATTTTCTTTACTTAAATCTAGAGACCACAGTTTGACAGGCATGAAACACTATTTTTGCACCAAGAAGGCGATTGCCAAAGAGCTATTAGCTGAAAATCCGGCATGTTCAGCGTGATGTGTTCTTAGGAAAATGGATTGGCCTCCCCAGAGCCCAGACCTCAGCAGTGACCTCAACCTTAACAGAGAACAGAACAAAGGGCAGCCAACATCCAAAGGAGAGCTTTGAACGTCCTTGAAGAAGCCTGGAGAACTATCCCTGAAGACTACTGAAAGAAATGACAAGAAAATTTGCCCAGGAGAGTTCAGACTGTCCTGACGGATTAAAGCAGCTACACCAAATATTGTACAGTTCTAATGACTTGAAAGTCAAACTATTTCCATACACTGCTCCACTAGTTTTCAAATTTCAAAGCAAAACATAAATAAATGAGGGGTGGCCCAAGACTTTTGCACAGTACTATAAACACTCAAAGACATGCTGACAATAAATGGTTACAGCTGTGGTGAATCGCTATTGTGAAATCAATTACCACAGAAATTATCCTTCTGGAGCTCTGTGCTAAAGAAAGGCCTCCACATGTGAAATAAATAAAAATCCACTTTTAAATGTTTACATTTGCTGTTCTCAGTGGCTGTAATTGCAACCCAGCAGCCTGACAGTATAATTCAATGCTGCTGGTGTGACTAATTGCCCCATATGGGTCATACCAAGAGATTGAGGCTGGCACTGCCAGAAAATTTTGTCCTCTTATGCTTTGTATGTGTGTGTGAGTGGGTGGGTAAAAGTCAGAAAAAGAGAGGGGGAGAGAAAAAAGGATAATATCAGAGGCATGCTGATGTACACGTGTCTGAAATGTTCTCACTGTGTATCTGTGTGAATGTGTGTGCACACACCCGGGCTTGGCATTGTTCTGCAGGGTCTGCAGTCGTGTCTTCACCAGATCCAAAGGCTGGAAGAGGAGTGTAGAGCAGGTGCCACTGAGGGAGCCACACATAAAGGCTTTGAGAGCTGGGTGAGCCTGAGGACAATGACAGACATAAAGAAGGACGATGGAGACCGACAGAGAGACGAGGAAAAGGAAGGATGGGAGAAAACCAACGAGAGGACAAGCGAGGAAGTGACATGAGAAAGAAATGGCGGACCAGAAAAGAGGACAGAGACAGAAAACAGACAAGAAGGGAGATAAAGCAGAAAGAAATGTAAAGGATTAGTCACAGCGTAAAGAGGATAACGAGAAAAATATGCCGTTCAGCATCTTCTTCGCCACTGGTCACCTCTTGCTGAATGCCAGAGAAATCTGTATATATTCATTCTCAAACAACTATGCATTAAAACAGCTTGACAAAGCAAAGAAAACATATCATAAATATACATGAATTGGACTTAGGATTAAAATCTAAATATGTTTGTGTGACATTTCCACTGCAATAAAACACCCTGTAGCACAGAGCAGAGGCCAGGTTCCTACACAGTGGAGATGATGGAGATGTGTAGAGACAGTTCACTCACTCACTCACAGACACGCACACACTGTCTGTTGCATAGAATTAAAGTGAGACTCAACATTATCAGTGGGTACATGCCTTGTAGACAAAAAGGCTGGCAGAATGTGACACGCAGACAGGGGCTAAATTTAGCTACACCTGAAGGTAAACTATTAAACAGAAATGATATCAATTGGCAAAAATAAATAAATATTCCAACAACAATAACAAACCACAAATAATCATAATCAGCCTTCTATACGTTGCCTTTACACACACACACACACACACACACACGCGAGACACTTTAAATCACACGTTAAGCACAAAGATGCTGTCCTACCTTCCCCGGGATGCCCGGGGCTCGGCTCTGAGAATCCTGTTTTTCCTGCATTTTGCCCACTTTCACCTCCCTCTATCTGTGATGCTGCTCTTACAAATAACATATTATAAAATAAACCTCCATCTCTTACAAACCTTCCCCTCGCTCACTCGCTCTCGCCAACCTACAATGGCTTTTCTCCTGCTTCCCGTCCTCCCTCCCCCATTTCAGCAGCCAAAGCAGAAGCTTAATCTAGCCCACGTTTTTCTACGGGCTTCTATCTTTATCTTTCAAACACACACACACACACTCGCGCGTCTGTATTTGGTGCTCGCCCCTCTGTATAGCTCAGTGCTAAAATGCATCTTTTTCAAATAGCATGAGTCATGGAGCAGTTCACGGGGACTTTACATTTAGGTCAATCATAAGGATGCTAGTTTTAGTTTTAACAGGAGAAAATATGAAGCTATACACTCACAAGTCACTTTATTAAGAATAGCTGTTCAACTACTTGTTAATGCAAAGATATAATCTAATTAATGTAAACATGGCCAAGATGACCTGCTGAAGTTCAAACAGAGCATCAGGATAGGGAAGAAATTTAATTTAAGTGACTTTCAACATGACACTGCTGTTGGTGCCAAACAGGCTGGTCTGAGGATTTCAGAAAATGCTGATCTTCTGGGATTTTTCCTACACAGTCATCTCCAGGGTTTATAGAGAGCGGTCCAAAACAAAGGAAAACAAATCCAGTGTGTGACAGCAAAAATGCCTTCCTGGTGTCAGAGGTCAGAGAAGGACGAACACACTGCTTTGAGCTTTAACTAAAGCAACAGTAACTCAGATAACAACTCGTTACAACGCAAGTATGCAGAAGAGCATCTCTGACCAAACAACAGGTCAAACCTTGACGCAGATGGGCTAGAGCAGCAGAAGATCACAATGTTGCCAGTCCATAGATAAGGAAATAGGAAAATGAGGCTATAATTCACATGGGCGTCAATTTGCACCAATACTGGACAATAAATGATTGAAGAAATTCAATTCAATCTTATTCTAAGAATTTTAAGGTGCTTTACATTGTAAGGTAAAGACCCTACAATAATACTGAGAAAAATAGACAAAGCCCCAACAATCAAGTCGAGACCCTATGAGCAAGCGGATGAGTCTGGTTGGATGAGTCTCAATTTCTGCTGTCAGATTTGGACAGTAGGGTTAAAAATTGGTGTAAACCACATGATAGCATGCTCTTTTTGGTGTAATGTGTGTTATATTTTGTGTGTGTGACGACTTTGGGCCTCATAGTATCAACATAATAGAGCATTGTTTAAATGTTACTGCCTATCTGAGTATTATTGCTAAAAAATTTCATCACTTTAGGATTACAGTGTGCAAGCCTGTACCTAATGAAGTCGCCTGTGGGTCTATACTGTCATACAAGGTGTGCATTTCCCTAGAAATACTTGGCGCTATAATTGAAATGGCATTTCTATAAGTAAGCGACAGACATCACTCATGTTTTCCTACGCTAAAAATCCCAACTGTTATACGAGGGAAACGTGTCGCATCAGGTAATTGACCATTTGTCTGCATGCTGTCAATGACAAACATGGCAGCACTCACCGCTGCCAACTCCATCTTTGAGCTGGATGCTGAGCCGGACGGGTCCAGTTTCTCCTGTGTTGCCGCCGCCGTTTTGAAACCGGTTAGGTTAGGCCACAGTGGATTCAAACTGGAGAAATCAGATGGCAGCCATGAGTCACATTTCAAAACATTGAGGTTGCCGGTGTAGCGGCTAATTTAGCTGGCTAGCTAGCTGTCACCACTGTGGTAAGGTGAAGTTAGGACATCGGCCAACATTCACAAGCCAGCTGTTCTTAAGTCATATAACTGCCTTAAAGCGACCAAAGATGTGAGCTCCAACAGGCAGATTAGTTTCAGATATTCAGAAAAAGTCACTCAAACACATCTAGCGACTAGCTAGCCTGGTAACGTAGCATGCTAGCTCCTCTTACCTGATGTTGCAGTGTTTCAGGGATCGCTGGAGGTGACAGCCACCGCTGTTAGCTGAAGAAAGTCCATATTTTATATTTACTGCGATAGTCTGAAAACATTTCCTTTAACCCAACGTTACCTTTAACACTTTAATGCCGCCTGACAGGGCTAGCTCAACGACGTTAGTGTTAGCTAGCCAACTTCTTGAGTTGTGCGAAATAAAATGTAACGCTAACACGTCTGAGTGTGAGTTCCAAATAAACCGGGTGTGTCTTCAGTCAGATCACGATCACTAAACCCGGGAGTGGTGAAACGCGAATCATCACATGTACCTGCTGCGGCTGTTAGTGAGCGGCCGGTAAAGTTCACCTCCAGGGCAAAGCCGACACACACAACTAGGGTATGTGTGTGCGTGTATTGTCAAACATGTTATGTATCGAGGTCAGTGTGGCAGATATCCATTTTTTTTTCTTATTGAGCTCCTTTATTTTGACTTTTTCTACATAATTGAGTTTATCTGCTTACAGTGATTTATCATTTATTTATCTATTTCTGTCACATTCACTTTTATTTGGCTATAATTGTATTTTGGCCGTTTTGCTATAGCAGAACGTATCCTTTACGTATAAAAAACAGTTTGCCGTTTTTATACGTAAATGATTAAATATTCGAATTATTTAAACACAGATAATTTGAATATCTCCTCCTAGTTTTTATTTTAGAGCACAAACCAGGACATGCATGCACTGTAAAATGTAAGTTTCTGCATTTCTGACAATAGCCTCAAGATGGCGCTGCTGTTCCACAGAAGATGAACATTGCAACATCAACAAGGTTTACTTGATATTTTCTTTCATTATTATAGGTTTAGAATAATCACCACTTGCTGAGTATACCAGAGGGACAGCTCTGGTTGAGCTGTTTAGAGAAAAGGGTAGTGACGTGTTGAGACGAGCCATGGTCGAGATATATTTGACAAAGGATTTTGAAGATTGAGCTGCCAGGCAGGAGGAAAAGAGGAAGACCACAGGGAAGCTTCAAGAATGTAGGAGGCAGATGATTTCCTGTGGCAACCCCTAAAGGGAGCAGCCAAAGAAGGTTTTACAAACACTTTTTTGACAGTCTTTTAAAGACGTCCGATTCCAATAAACACCAAGCAAGAGTTAATAGCAGAATAAGCAGTTTGCCATTGGCAAAGGTTTGGCAAGTTTCTCATGGGTGCAACCCACATACTTAAGTCTGCTGCTCAATCAACAAATGTGGCAACATTTACAGGGAAATAACCAGGATTTCCAATAGCATAACATGTATTACCAAGAAGCATTATTACAAAATTATAATTGATCAAACCACTTGTGCCAAGTTTAAATGAAAGTAAACTACTTTTGGCAGCCTCCATTTTTGCAAAGGGGTCACCACAGCAACACAGCTCTGCATGTCTGATTTTGTGCTGATGAAGGCCACAACAGTGAAATGTGAGCATTGTTGGCCAAAATAACATCTTCCCTGAAGGTTTGCAACTGCTCCTTTGGGTACTTTGAGTACCCAACATGGAGTTGCGCAACATTTTGCCCAGAAAAAACAAAACAAAACCACAACACACACCATAACAAAGAGGGAACAATTTGGAAACCCCAAGATTTCAAGTTTTAAAATCTGCAGATTGTCCCACAGAACCTTTCAGTCATTATAAAGTGGACACATGATTTCAGAAAGCAGCCCAAAGGCAGACTCTGAATCAACTACAGCTAATCAAAGTGAATAATCTCACAAGACACAAGATTCAGATGCAATTATTCTCCATTTATTTCATTTAAGGCATTTTATAAAATGTAGAACAGCCTTACAATATTGGCATCGGTGTCTTGCAATTTCTTGGTTAATACAGTGGCAGGTATTTACCTAAAATAGGGCAAGTTCAGCAGGTAGAAACTAATGTGCCAATAGAAACCATTCCAGCTGCAAAGCATAGCACAAAACAGGAGACAGATCCAATACATGATGACCCAACACCAGTAAAGTATAAAGCCAGTGCGTGGGGGCTAACCACCTATATTACTGCATTCCACTTAGAAAGATCTGAACATTTCGATCGTAAGTGTTTGATATCTGGCTGAGGTATTAACAGAGTGAGAGGAAGGGCATACAGTACCAACTTTATACTGACACCAGCACAGTGTGAAGCACAAAAACTCCCAGAGTGTCCAAAACTAGCACGAAGTGACAACGTTTCCCCCCCCCCATTTAAATCAACACATCGACCTCCATCTCAGATCAAATGGAAACTGGAATGTTTGTTTAAACAGTGATATGTGTTATGACATACACGTTAAGTAGAAAAATATACTAAGAAAGTTTATGTAAAGCTTTCATAGAAAACATTTGCTGAGTTGAGTAAGATTTGGCCAAATAGAAATGCATTACACTTAAAGCAGGATGAGGGGAGGGAGGGGATGCAAGGTTACATTTAAATGCATTATTTTTGTGGTCTGAATTTCCCTCCTGGCTTCTCGTCCTGCTTTTCACTCAGCTGCACGTTCAGATGATTCACTCGGGACTCCGCTATCATCGTCGCTGTCCCCAATACGATTCAGGTTATGTCGCAGAGTGTGAGACACGTCTCCACGCCTTAAGAAAAAGAAAACAAACAAACATTAAAACACAAGTGTAGCACTTTTGGATTTTGGGCATCCTTCACTTTGTGCTTTAGTCCTGGATTGCCTCAAGCTTTAAGAAATCTCATATCCTGACTTGGTCTGACACTCTACATATTGCAAGTTTAAAAGTTTCAAGGTTCTTAATAGCAGCCTACAGGATGGTGGACATCAAGTTAGTGCAGCAGCCATGCCTATAATCAATGTAGATTTTGTGCTTTGAATGCACGTGGTCATTATAATGTCTGTACTCTCGGCAACATGGAATATAAAACAAATTTCCTTTTTGGAAACAAGAATTTTCATGTAAAAACAAAACAAAACAAAAAAAACCAAACAAAAACCACATGAGTTCCCCGACAAATGCCACTACCTAAGCTTGCTCTTCAGAGAGGACACTTCACGGTTCATCGAGTCTGCTGACTCAGCTGCATCATCCAGCTCCCTCTGCAGCTTCCTGCGGTAGGCATTGGCTCTTGTCAACTCCTCCTCCGATTCCTCTATCTGACGTTTCATCTGACGCATTCGGATATTTGCCTTTTCAGCCTGCGGAGAACAGTCAGTGTGGGAACAAGCACATTAGCAAGGAATCAGGCTTAAATATCAGGATGTCTTAGTCCTCCAATAACTTTGAAATTACAAGTAAAGCGTGATTGGGTTAACCTGATCTTTGTACTGATCCATGTTGCGCCTCTCGTCATCTATCTGTACCAGCACCTCTTTCAGCTTCTTCTCTGTGCGTCTCGTCAGCCTGGAGGCCTGCTGACGCTCCCTGCAGTAAACGAGAGATGTGTTGCAGTAAGAAAGCCAATGCAGTATATAAAACAAATGGTACATTTCATCGCCCCTCACTTTGACTCTACGTCGAGCTGTTCTTCCAACTGGGCAATCTTGGCCTCTAGGCTGGTGATGGTGAACTTGTACTTGGACTTGATGGTTCCTTCAAGCTCCTGCAGCTTCAGTTTCAGCTCCTTGTTCTGGCGATCCAGCTGTGAGCGAGCGCCCTCCAGCTGCTGGGAGTTGCTGCGCTCTGTGCTCATGTCTGAGGTCAGCTGATCGACCTTGTCAGACACACAGGAGAGTTACCGTACTGCTGATAACCACATGCCAAATTCTGTAATCAATCCAGTGCCTTCATAGTTAAAGTTAGATGCAATTCAACAATTCAAACTCAGTTTTTCTAAACACTTTACAGATGAATAAACTTGCACAACAACCAACTTTTCACAACAACTGCAAAATTACCAACCAGGTTAGGCAGGTTTTAAAATGTTGAGGTAAATGCCGGAGTTTCGTGAATGTTGTGGAGTCTTTCATAAACTGTTCATGTTGGGTCTGAGTCTGTGGACATTGTGGAGGACTAAAAATACCTTGGAGTATACATAGACAATAAACTGGACTGGGTTAAAAACACCACTGCAATTTACAGGAAAGGCCAGCATCTTTATTTTTTGGGGCGGCTGAGGTCCTTCAACATCTGTTGGAAATGCTCCGGATCTTTTACGAGTCAGCTGTGGTCAGTGCGATCCTCTATGCTGTTGCATGCTGGGGGAGCAGGTTGAGGGTCACAGATGCCAACAGACTCAATAAAGTGACCCAAAAGGCCAGTACTATTATAGGGATGGAGCTGGACTCCCTCGGGGTGGTGTCTGAGAGGCGGATGTTGTCCAAGATAAGACAATGCTGAATACCTCCCACCCACTCTATGATGCGCTGGCTAATCACAGGAGCACGTTCAGTGAGAGACTGAGATTACAAAAAGCCCCACTGAATGACACAGGACATCATTCCTGCCTGTAGCCATCTCCCTGTAGGACTCCTCGATCTAACACACTGTAAACACCGCAATAGTTACACCCTTTTGGCACACACTCTACAGTAAAAAAAATGACAAAGTTCACAGGTTACAGTCAAATGTCATATATTCTGCCTCTGTAATATTCTTGTCAATATTCTTGATATTTATTTATAATCACCTCTGTAAATTCTTGATGTTTATAATTAAGCGATTTGTATATATTAGTGCTGTTCTTAACATATTGAATTGTTTAAATAGTTTAGTCTGTCACTGTTACCATCTTGGAGCAACTGTAACCCACATAATTTCTTTAGGGATTAATAAAGTATTCTGATTCTGATGATTAATCGTGTAGTGAAAATCTGATATTGTGGCAGACTCATGAAAGGCAACCCCTTTCATTTTTTTTTTTTTACCGGTTTTATGTATTCTTAAACCTACTCAACTGAAGTGTTCACTTTACTCCTGTGATAACCAATAGAAACACTTACAATTAAATATTTGCCCTACTTATAAAATAAGATGTTAACAATCAACAGGTTTCTACCTGCTGTGTGCTTCTCCTCAGGCGATCGTTGACCATTTCAGTGTTGAGCTGTTCCTCCTCGAGTTCCCCTTCGAGCTCGGCTATACGAGCCTCCAGCCTTCGCTTCTCATCATTCAGCTGAGAACTGCAAACAAATGAGGAAGAGAGAAGGTGATGCTTAATGGTGTCCCGAGACAAACATGTAGCCTGTGCAGGCAAAAGTAAGACTCAAAGTTGTTCCTGAAATCTGAGTTTCCATATTTAATTTTACCATTCATGATCTCTCACACACACTCACACACACACACACACACACACACACGCCAGTATTTCATTCATACATCTTTGTGTTGTTGCCGTTCAGCTCATCCTGGAGCTCATCCCTCTCGGTCTGAGCCTGTCT